TTGAGAAACGTGTTAAGAAGAAATGTTCTTTGACAAAAAGAAAGCTACGAAAATCCGTTTTTAAATTATTGCGAAAAATCCAAGAAGAAACGTTTTATCAAAGGACGTTTCTTCTTGGATTTTTCGCAATAATTTTAAAAACGGATTTTTGTAGTTCCCCCCCCCTGAAAATTACTAACCTATGAATTAATTTACTTGCACCAAAAAATATTTTCTTTTAATTTAGAGTTTAACTACTTGCGCCAAGACTAAACTTCACGGTTGAGGTGCCGTGCGCTACAATATAACAAGCCGTAAAGTGTCTCATTTATGCCGCTCCGCATCTGCGAGTGCAATCCAGAGCTGTAACTCGAAAAATAAACAATCTCGTTGTTAGGCGACGTGTGCACCATGTTATTTTCATTTTGCGATAAATGCTTATCGACGTGGTGTTCACGTCGCTCGCGGTTTGAAACAAAGGCATCTTGACGTGCATGGCACGTCTTTTTAGTGCAAATGGTTCAAGAAATTTTAAAGGATATTCATTTAATGAACTCTTGATAACGTGACCTTCGAACTTCGACACCGGTTTCCAGCTTTGGCGGCAGATATATCCCGCATGCACAGATGTTTCCCTCTATGATGGAACGGAGCCACGTCTGTTGCAGAGAGGTTTTCCTTCTTTACAATACATATTCTTTGATTCTAACCTCAATGGTACCGTATACTAAGATTAAACCCATTTTGTTTTATATGAGAACAGGTACTTTCTTTAGTTCATGCACTGCACATGCGATTCTCGAGAATACTGGAAACTAAAAGTTACGGGAAACTTGCTTTGCCTTTCTAAAAGGCAATCAAATTGGAGCTGCGAAAACTGGCTCTATGCCAGCAGACACTCATGTGATAGGCAATTTGCCAAAAAAGTTATCTCTTCCGACATCGGCACAAAAATCGCTTTTTTTGGCGGGATCATTGTATGAATTTCCCTGACTTTTCCAGATTTTGACAAAAATACTTAAATTCCCTGACTTTTCCCTGAATTTTTTGGTCAATTTTCGAATTCCCTGACTTTTCCTGGTTCTCCCGGTTTTCCAGGTAGCGTGGCTACCCTGTTAATTGTATTCGTTTGGCACCTAATAATAAATACAATTTATTTTTCCACTCATATTAATATTTAAATAATTCAACTTAAATCAAAATTCTGAACATTTTCTAAATTTTCATTCCATAACAGTTTTCCCTTAACATATATCACAAACAAAGTAATTTAAGTAAAAAAGAGGCGCATTTCTGAAATCAGAAGACGGGAAATTGCTTCATGCCATCATCCTTTAACAGTAAAAGCTTAACTAACCCGCATATTCGGAAATTCCCGAATATTCCAGATAGTAAGTGGAAAAAGAGGAGTGGGGGAGATTGTAGCCGTTCTTTAGATTTAAATTTAGGCTAAATAAATTATTTTGACATTTCGATATGTGCATCATATAAAAACAAACGGAACTGAGAAACATTTTGCTTAGAAAGCACAGTAAAACTGTTTTAAGTGTTCATACACAAATCTCAGACTGAACATCAAAATTAATTATCTTGCAAAATACCGCAAAAGTTATTGCGCAATATGTTATTGCGATAGTGCAATACGTTATTGCGCAATACGTGCGGCGTAATTCTTCCATATGTGATATTACGCAATCAGGAATCAACACCTGCCGGTATTCGGAGAATAAAGAACTAAATAAAGGAAAAGAAAGAGACTTACTAATCTGGGGTGTTTCTGATTCTAATTTTCAACAGACTGTATTAAATTTCCGGAATAGAATCAATCTTCGCTTGGGTTGGGTAGACCGCAAAAACTTTTAGTCCTATTCAATCTAGATTGGACAGTGACAAAAAAAAGTCCACTGCTTCAATATTAGAGATTTTGCGGAGAAACTCCCAACCTCCGTACTGTATAATATATTGGCAAAGAAAATGAAATTAACTATATTATTATAAATATTCATACATATGCTCATAATATAAGCATAACGATCACAATAAACGCGAATATGAACTGACCACGCGGAACGAGAATGCAAATTATTAAAATCTTGATAGAAATTCAAACGTGTGTAGTATTTGGGTGGGAGGAAAAGAATACCAAATGTACCGGAATTTTCTACCGTTTTCGCAATTCTTTGATCAATAGAACGATGTGCACCTGTCTGTACTCTCGCACACACCATAGGTTACGTTAATGCAGAGGAAGGGGGAAAGCAATTTCCGGGAGTATGATTCACCATCTGACGTTGCATATAAGGAAGAAAAGTTGTTTATTTAGTTTCGGCTTTGGTACGGGGGAAAAATGCGCATTCATTAAAAACAAAGGATTAAAAAAAGCACTAAAAGCAAAAAATAAGCACTAAAAAGAAAAAAATAAGGGCTTTAAAGAAAAAGTAAGCACCTATAAGGGCCTTTATATTTTATTTTCAAATATAAGGACTTATAAGAACTTGTAAGGACCGCTACGAACACTGTTTAGATCTTGTTCAGAAATATAGAATACCTTGAAGGATATTGTATGGAACTTTCGAAACGGCCAGCTTACACGTATTTACTGATGCTTCATCTCACAGATATGCTCGCTGTGCATTTCTATGCTGTGAAGAAAAAAAAAGTGAAAGTTTCAATGATTTTGACGAAAGCTAGAATAGCTCCAGTTAAGAAACTGACAATTCCGACACTGGAACTTTTAGGAGCTAGAATTGGTTCAACACTATTAGAAGTTTTGAATTTTCCTTTGAAGATATATTTTTGAACGGAATCGATGATCATCTTGGCATGGGTTACAAATGCAGAAACCTGGAACACCATCATTGGAAATAAAGTGAAAGAAATCAAGATGACCAATACAGATGCTTGGAGACACGTTTCTGGAGACGTCAACCCAGCAGACTTACCTAACCGAACTTGTGACTGATCGGACCTTCTGCAGAGTCATTGGTGGCAAGGACCAACTTGGTTGTATGGAGGCAAAGAGTCTTGGCCAATATCAGAACTATCTATTCCAGAGGAAGCACTTCTGGAGAGACGCAAAACAGTTGTCACAAATTTAGTTACTGAGAAGGAAGGGAAATTTAGCGAAAGATTCCTGTAATTTTCAAGCTACAAAAGAATTCTCCGCATGACTGCTTATGTTTGGAGATTTTATAACAACATCAGGCAAATTCTATGAAGTTGAGAAATGGGATTTCATGTGAAGAGATTGAAAGGGCTGAAAATACTTTGATAAAAATCATTCAGTCTGAATGGCATTCTGAAATACGTGAGAAGTATAATACAGTAAAATTCCAAAAATCCGCAAAGCTTGGGACCAGATGTTGTGCGGATTTTAGGATTTTGCAGATTTCAGGACAGAAAAGATAAAGCATAATATTCGGACTAGAAGTGCAAAACGAATAAGGTGTATTAGATACATTTAATTAAATTATCATATACGTTATTACATGCAATAATTTATTACATGCATTAAATTATTATTACATATATAAATTCATTATGTTATTCATTGTATTCTATGTACACAGCATCGACATTTGCCGATTTCGCCTCATGCAAAGATTTCCAGTGTTAGAAGAACTGTTGCTGTAAAATTTCAACAGCTTTTCTTTATTTTTTGGTATATCATACACAATCGTGTCGAAATTCCATACCATTCTACTATAAATCGAGGAGTAGCACCTGCCTCCATCTTTTGCGGAATTAGCACTTTCTGCATTACTGTCAATGCAACGTGTTTACGTTTTTCAACGTTGCAAGCAGTAAAATCACGAGTGCGTTTCTTACCTGTCATTGTATTAAAAAGGGCTAAAATATTCTTAATTTATCCACAAAATATCCAGCTTGTTTCGAATGTTTTGATCGGGTAAATTCACGTTCTAAGTAAGCAGCAGTTGAGTTAATTACATTACTGAAATACTGAGCGTTTTTTCATCATTAAGATGTATGGATCATTATACTAAATTCTACATGTAAATAGTAGCATTAATCTGTACATGTTCGTAAGGTGAAATAAATTGGATATTAAATGAAGTCTGATTTCAAGTCAAAAAGGTATTTTCAATTACATATTTAAACTATTACAGGTTAACATTTTCAAAATGTCTTACTTTTTAGACAAAGGATTATTCGTGCTGTTACAACTATTAGCAGCTGCTATTAAAGAGGTTTTCGTATGGAAATCAGTTCAAATTTTACAATACAAAAAGGAAATACAAAACAATCATGTAACTGGTCCTTAGGATGAAACACTGGATAACATTAGTAACTTTTGAGCACCGAAGCATGAATTTCTCTTCCTTTACACTTAACATATTGGAAATTAAGCCTTTTTCTACTAAAGATGAAAAACAGGTATATTACATGCACCCATAAGAAATAAAATAGTTTTGTTGGATCAAGTTAATTAACAATAAGTGATTTTCTACTACTTATTTATTTTGCTGTACTAGTTGACTAAAATTGAAACATTAATCCACCCAATGATGTGTCATATAATAAATACTGTTTTCAAATAATTAAAAAGAAATACCTACCAGCTGTAATGGTGTTTTCCCTAACATATATCACTGCTTTTATTTCCTATGAATATTTCAGATCTTTTAAAAGGTATGCAATTTCCTGCAAAAGCCTTTATTTCAAATGCGGCTATTATTTTGTTTTGTTTCTTTTCATAAAAAAAGCTGTATTACTTGAAACTCAGCCTTATACATGTGAAATACATTCACTAGAAATTGCTTTCTTATTTTATAAAACCCTTTTTTCAATCAATCAATGCTGAACAGTAGTTGAGAGGGTAAACTTCTTGTAATCTGTCTTGTGTTCCAGCATCCATAACAGATGTCTTTCTTTAGCAAGATAGTCTACGTTAGAGATTTGTTGTTTCAAATAACCTAATCCAATCAATAACAAACTTAATATCATATAACCACATAAAAAAGTATGCTAACATGAAAACAAATCTAAAGGCAAGAAAATACCTTCTTAATTTCTTGGCAAGTAATAAGACCCCAACCACGATTCCTTGTTCTTATACGTTTAACGGAAGCATACTGTCTCTTTTGAAATCTTCTGTTCTTGCATCGATCATCAGCATTACAAATACCTGAATGACATTCCATCAGTAATGACAGGTTTAAACATGAACTTTCTGGACCACATGGATTGTCTGTAGATGGATCACACAAACAAGGTGAGCTAGATGCTGTTACATCTAAAGGCACTATCTGAGCAGGAGGAACTGCTTTGTTCACCTAAAATAAAAAGATAAATACCCAGTTTAAAGCATGATGACCTTTAATTGAGCAACAGAACAACAATAACAGATACCTTCAATAAAATATTCAATACAAATTTTCACAAGGTAGTCAACTTACTACAACAAATCATAAGAAGGTGAAAGGTTAAACCTTACACTCGGATATTCCATAAAACAATTTAAAAAATTCCAAGCAACCAGTAAACAATAGGGTACATGTTACAAACAACTTTTATATTTCAGGTTATATTTCCCATTTATTTTTACAACCTGTGTGGCAATATGGATTTTTACTTTCTCTTTCTGCTAACAGTTTCAGTTGTCATTATACTTCCTTTACGATGCATATTTTTAATATGTTCTTTCCATCCGCTTTATAAATATATAGAAGATGTTCTTACTTTTGTGTCTGTTCATAACATTACCCAAGATGGCCTAAATGCACAGAAAAAATTTCGAAATGAAGTGAAGGTAAAAGTTAGCAGCAGCTCTTAAGCCTCACATAAGTCAGCAAATTAATGCACAAAAATGAAACCTAAAGTTAAGCCATTACATGGAAAAACAGAATTACATGGAAATATTGAATTAAGTTCATATTAAGTTACTATGAAGGCACTTTAGAAATCGTGGATGAAAAATTGAAAAAGGCCAGTGGAGTCTGATCAAGCCGCCACCCAAGAAATTCGAAAGCAATAAAAAAAATGACATGAAGGTTTAAAAATAAATGCGCTATGATGGTTCTTACGAATTCCACGACTGAAGATACTTCGTTGAGTTTGTTAATCAGTAAAGGTATACGAATTCCATGACTGAAGATACTTCGTTGAGTATGTTAATCAGTAAAGGTAATGAAGTTTGACCAAAGGTAATGAGATTTGACAGTACAAGAAACTTTTGGCTCAAATTTCACAAAAATATTCGAAGATTCATCTGACAACCAACTTTACAAAATATGTTTACAGTTCTTCAATTCAATTGGTCAAATGATATGTCAGCTCATTTATAAAAATAGAAAAATTTATGCAATGAACTGAGCAGTGAACTTGAAAATAATGAAAAATAAGACTCTCAGAAATGGTGTTAATTTGCAAAATATTGGATACTCTTCCTCCCAAATATCATACTTTCAAATCGAGTTGGAAACTTGTCAGCGATGAAAAAAACTCTAGACAAATTAGCCATATAACTGTGCACCCACGAAAGAGAATTAAAGATACACTGCTGGCCATTAAAATTTCAACACCATGAAGGAAAGCAAATACAAAAAAGATATTTATTATACGTAAAACAGTACGGCATGAAGACAAAATGGTTAAATTTGTAAGCAGTTTGGGTGTTCACGGGGGTACGAAATTACCAGAACATGTTTAAATCAACAATTAAGAACTGCTATTTGAAAATACATAGAAGAACAGTTCTGCATAGTAAAAGCAATGCTGGTGGGGACGGCCTCTTCACAGTCATGATGAACACCTTAGTAACTGTAACTCACATTAACATAAATGTGATTGAGAATAATGAGTCAACTCTTCAACTTTATCATGAACATTGGGGTCACCAAGATAAAAGGCATGTAAAGGCAATTCTTGAGAAAGACTTGAATACGAAGCTTAAGTCTGATATGAAATTATATGAAGCCCATGTATGAGGTTGCATAATATATATATATAACCTGTGTACAAGCCCATTGTATAAAGTTCAGAAACAGAAAAGAGGTTACAAAAGCTGGAGAATTCTTCTTGACAGACATCTGTGTGTCAATTGATGAATGATTTACGATATATCAATACTTCACAATTGTAATCGATGCTTGCACCAACTTTTGATACTGCTTTTTCTTAAAGCACAAATCAGAAATAAAAGATATGCTTGAAAATGTCATAGCTCATGCTAAGAACTTAGGATATGAAGTTAAAGAAATCATCAGTGACAACGGTATTTGACGACCAAGCAGCTCCAAAGATCTTGAACAAGCATGACATCTCGCAGAGGCTCACAGCTCCACCAGAGCAGAATGGCAGTCACGACTGAGAGACTAGAACAGTTCTCAAAATGGACAGAACTCTCAATATTCAAATAAAGAAGTGGATATTCCAGCTTTCCTATGGGTAGATTTCATCAGGACTTCAATTTACATATTGAATAGGACGGGCAAGGTCTTCAGTCTTTATTTCATGGCTTTATGAATTATGAATGGGAAAGAAACCTAGTTTATTTTTAACACTCCTCCTTGCCAAAGTATGCCTAAAAATCTGATTGCCTAAAAAATTGAATGCCCAGAAAACTAAAGTGATTAAACACAACCTTCAAAATGAAGGTTTTTTTTTTTTTTTTTTTTTTTTTTTTTTTTTCAAAAAAAGGAATTTACAGAAACTTTTCATAACTGAACAATAAAAAAATATTAGTAACAGAAATTTACACTTAAGGACTTTCGGTCGACCTTGTCAGCCAGCACACCAGAGAATATTTCAAGGGCTCTTCCTGTCTTTCTGAATGCAAGGGATGTTTGGTCTCTTTAAGATGGTGGAAAAGATGTAACACTCCTCCAGTGAAATTCAGATGGCCTCTCAATACACTGACTCATATAAGTTGCACTAAAGGCAATATCAGGAAGGTAGCACTAAATGCAATATCAGGAAGAAGCCATAGGTAGCCTATTATACAAGCAAGGTATAATAGGCTACCTATGGCTTCCCTATATGGAATTTGGTCACTTTCTGCTTTTATATCTCTCCACTCTTCATCATCTACCTTTTGGTGTTTTACAATGGGTTCCAGGGATGTTGACGTTTCCCTGATTCTAATTTGAACTCTTCCAGAATTTCTTCTATGTAAGCTGTCTGATCTAATGTTAAGGTGCAATCAGTATGCTTCTGGATCCTAATACATAGTATTTCATTTGCTTCACCAAGGTCTCTCGCTTTGAATCTTTGCACAACCATATGCTTAAATGTAGATATTTCATCTAGGGTCCCAACAATTAACATGTCATTTACATAGATACAAAGATATACTACTTTGTTTGGATGGTAATATGTGCATGAGCGTAACAGTCCACAATTCAAGAAAGTATCAAAACATTCATTCCATTGTCTTCCTGATCGCTTTAGCCATACAAGCTTTTTTTTTTTTTTTTTTCCAATGGCACACTAGATGCTTTTTACCTTGCTCTTGAGATCCTTCGGGTTGTACCATGTGTGTCTTCCTTGAGTAAGCCATTTAGATAGGCAGCAGTGATGTCAGTTTGATGAATTTCCATTTGTAACATGACAGCAAGGGCTAGAAGGATTCTTATAGATTTTATCTTTACAACAGGGAAGAAAATCTCTGAAAAATCTCTACCAGGGACTTGTGAGTAGTCTTTAGCTACTAATTGAGCTTTAAATTTGATTATTTCTCTTTCTACATTTTGTTTTTCTTTGAATAATACCCACTTGCATCCAACGGGTTTGATGGCAGCTGGCTTTAGAACCAATTTGCATGTCTGGTTTTCGTACAAATTAGACATTCTTCATGGCTTCTTTTCACATCTCTGCATTTGGTAATTCATTATTGCTGTTTCTGTAATGGGTGCATAGTTTTAGTTCTGTACTTATCTTGAGTTTTGAGGGGTTTTCTCTCCCATAACCTTACTAATAGCAACTTCTGATTTCACTTTTGTGTAGCACGGTAATTTTTTTCTCTTAAACAATTAGACGCAATTTTATGATTTGAGTTAAACAACGTATCTTCTCCACATTCTAAATTGAGGATAAAGCCTTGATATTCTTTGGGCATACCCATTAACATAAAAAGGGCAAGTTCTCTGTCTGCAAGTCTTTGCCTGCAAGACGTTAGCTTTCGATGAAGGTACATCAATCGACTTTCATAAGAAATGACGCTTTCTCCTGGTTTAAGGTTACATTAAAAAAGTCCTTTAAAAAGTTGTAGAGAATGCAAGAGTCTAAATTTAATATGAATATCTTTTAAAATATTCGACGCTCCTTTTGCTCTTTTAAAGTCAGCACTATCATCCAAGAACTGGTCTTCAACCACCAAGAATAGGAACATTAAGGCTTTCTCATTAATTTTCTCACATCATTCTTTAATTCAGCACCGTAACTTGGATCAATTGCTTCCCAAGAATTTTTGTAATTATCTCTGTCGAGTTTCTGAATCTTCATTTCTTCCATCGGGTCACTTTCAACATGTTAGGCTTAGCTTCACTGTCGCTGATTCTTTTTCTTTAGGAAAAATCAATATTTCTTCATTTCTGCCAAATAAACTTCTTTAAACAGGGTTGCCACTCAAACAGGAGAATGAAATTCCCTGACTTTTCCAGGTGTGTTTCAAGAAAATTCCAGTCTATCCGCGTAATGTACATTGGCTGTGCTAAGAGGTAAATTAATTATGGTATTACTCGTATTGTGTAGCAAATTCACTTAATTATTCAATAAATCCCAGAGGACATTTATTCTTAATTATTCTTGGTATACTATGTTTGATAATTTTGTTTAGTTTTCCACTTAAGAAACTTAATAAAATTTAAGATATATATATATTGGATAACAAATGTATGTTTTATTTAATTATTACTCATGATCATCACCAGTTTCAACATGAGGCTAATCCGGTCCTTATAAATCACAACGCAATGCTAAATAGTTAGGTTAGATTTTAGGTAAATTTAATTTGTGTGAGGTATGTTCTTAAAAGGCACCTTAACACTTGAAAACACAAATATAATTATAATAGTTGTTGTTTTCTCCACTGAAGATTGAGATTAGAATCTTCCCAATCTGGAATAAAATAAGGCTTTTTCTGCAGACATTCTGCAGCTAAACGAAAGAAAGAAATCTATTTTAATAAATTGAGGTATTTTATATTTATTTCACAGCATACATAAGGAAAAAATATGTGCATTAAATTTCGTGATGGTATGTCATCATACTGCTATAATTAATTTCAGGATTATGCCAGAGAAAATTTCCTGAAATTTGGAAATATTATTTACTAATAATAAATAAATTTAGAGGGAAGAAGCAACATTAAATTATATGAATAACATAAAAATAATTTACACTAAAATTAAATAATTACTTAAAAATTGAATTAGAATAATCAACGATATTTTAGCGAATGTAGTTATATTACATGGCTAGCCTAGATGACTGATTACTATTTTTTTTATTTTACTGCAAAATGGCAAGGTATTTATTAAAAAGAAGAAAAAAAAGGTTTAAAAAGATTTTGCGGTAAAATTCTAGTATACGGTAAGATTTTGGCACGATTTTGAAAATTGTCGCCAAGACCAAAATGACCTGTTTACTGCGCATCAAGATGTCGCCAAATCCCATTATTATTCTAACCAAAGAACTTCTATGTAAAGAAGAAAAGTATCCATACAAGTAAAATGCTATTACGCGCTAGAATGCGGAGGGAAAATTTGCCAAGGGATTTGGCGACGGAACCTGGCGGCCAGAATTTCCCTCTCCGCGATGTGTACAGGAAATTGAGAAACACGTGTTAAGAAGAAACGATCTTTGACAAAAAGAAAACTACGAAAATCCGTTTTTAAATTATTGCGAAAAATCCAAGAAGAAACGTTTTATCACAGGACGCTTCTTCTTGGATTTTTCGCAATAATTTTAAAAATGGATTTTCGTAGGTTTTTTTTTTCCCTGAAAATAACTAATCCATGAATTAATTTACTTGCGCCAAAAAATATTTTCTTTTCCTTTAGAGTTTAACCACTTGCGCTAAGACTAAACTTCACGGTTGCGGTGCCGTGCGCTACAATATAACAAGCCGTAAAGTGTCTCATTTACGCCGCTCCGCATCTGCGAGTGCAATCCAGAGCTGTAACTCGAGAAATAAACAATCTCGTTGTTAGGCGACGTGTGCACCACGTTATTTTCATTTTTGCGATAAATGCTTATCGACGTGGTGTTCACGTCGCTCGCGGTTTGAAACAAAGGCATCTTGACGTGCATGGCACGTCTTTTTAGTGCAAGTGGTTCAAGAAATTTTAAACGATATTCATTTTATGAACTCTTGATAACGTGACCTTTGAACTTCGACACCGGTTTCGAGCTTTGGCGACAGATATATCAGATATGCACAGCTGTTTTCCCTCTATGATGGAACGGAGCCACAGCCAAGTCTGTTGCAGAGAGGTTTTCCTTCTTTACAATACATATTCTTTGATTCCAACCTCCATGGTACCGTATACTAGGATTAAACCCATTTTGTTTTATACGAGAACAGGTACTTTCTTTAGTTCATGCACTGCACATGCGATTCTCGAGAATATTGGAAACCAAAAGTTGCGGGAAAGTTGCTTTGCCTTTCTAAAAGACAATCAAATTGGAGGTGCGAAAATTGGCTCTATGCCAGCTACCCGAATGACACTCACGTGATACATAATTCGCCAAAAAAATTACCTCTTCCGACGTCGGCGCAAAAATCGCTTTTTTTGGCGGGATTGTTGTATGAACTTCCCTGACTTTTCCAGATTTTGACAAAAATACTTAAATTCCCTGACTTTTTCCGGTTCTCCCGGTTTTCCAGGTAGCGTGGCAACCCTGTTTAAAGCATATCGTGCTGATAACATGATAGAAATTACTTAAATGGCAGATATATTTTGTAATATAGTAGAAAGAAATAATCAAACCACAACTACATGTTTATTAACTTGGCTAACTAAACTGTTGCCATTCAGCAAAAATCAGAAAAGAGGCTACACATGAATATTAAGAAACATGGAGTCTATAATTATAGCATTGCTTTGGCAGATACAACATCACAAAAATAAAATAAAGTTTATTTCTAAAAGAACAGACAAAGTCTCCAAACAGGAAGAAGTGGAGGATAAAGATCCTCCAGAAGTAAATGGAATTGTAAGTGAAATGCACTGCAGCTAACAATTCAAGAAACAGGAATGTGAAGACTAAATACCCAATAAGGTTTTTGTGAAGGATCCTGAAACTTTGGAAGAGGCATTAACTATCACAGATGCAGAAAAATGGAAGTTACCCATGGAAGAAGAGTTGGGAATTTAAAAGAATATGAAAGAATACACAGTTCCTAGGTCAAAAGAAAAGAAATTTGTGAAATGCAAGTGGGTCTTTAGAAGAAAATAAAGATGGACAAGTAAAAAGATCATTTAGTTGTTTGTGGCTACACCCAAGTCAAAAGAAATTACTACAGAACAACGTGCTTAACCCATTAAAAACAGCCACATGCATTAACCCATTAAAAACATAATGGCAGATGTCCATATTACCAGTTATGCAAACAAGAGCTGACCAAGATGTGTATCCAATACTAGCTGGCAATGTGTGGAGCTTTATTAGTGGAAGAAGAGACCGATGAAGCATACTTGATGGAAATGGTCATCTGAAGCTGTAAATCAAGTCGATTCTGAGAACACAAGCATGGCTGAAGATTGTACAGTTATTAATTTAACAGTAAAAAAATTAAAAGAAGACCCCACATGACCTTCTCTTAACAAAGGTAACAAAAATCGAAGAAATGTGTTTTTCAAATTTGAATATAAAATAGTTTCGTTTATCAGCAAATATCCTACCAAATAATTTGCATGTTTAATTTAAACTGATACATAATTTCAACATTAAACACTTTAAAAATCTCTTGACTCATTACTTTGAGAGGTTTATATTCCTCTGGTTCTTCACTCATGTTGTTTTCGCTGGCTCTGAGAAGCTGATATTCATCATATGCTTCAGATGCTTCTTTAAGACCTGGGAATAAAAGAATAAAAATACAACATTCAAAAGTTAGAAAGCAAAAATTAATGAAATAATATTTTTAGCCAAAATTTGTATGAGAACAAATCAATGAAAGCTTTTGTTACTGATGTTAAATACTGATGAATATTCACACTTTAAATCCAAATTTGAAAATCATCCCTGCATTCATTAACGATCATTCAAATCCTTTACAATCCAAGTAGCATTAGGAGTATAAAATGTGATATTTTAATAGGTCCTATAAAAATTATTATATTAAATTGTGAAGCTATTGCAACAGAAATAGTCTAATTTCATGGAAAATAACTCTTTTGTATGAATAGACTTCCAACACCACATGCACTTTTAAAACAATATTATTTCTATTAAAGCAAGTCTCACATAGGTGGACTTAGAAGCCATTTTATGCAGCCCGTGAATACATTTTAGATACTATTGTTGTAAATATTGTGCGAAACGTTTGCCCATATGAAAGGTTATTAAAACAATAATTCAAACAGTAAGCTTCTCGCAGAAAAGCTCTGAATCATCGAGTTTGTTGCATTGCTTAAAAAGTTGAAAATAAGCATGCATAAATTTAGTAAAAAGAGGTTAGGTAGTTCTGTCGAGAAGCTGAACCAGAACATATTTTAAATTTAATATATGAATTTTCAGAACAAAAATAAATCAATCAATAAATAAAATCATTGACGAGCTGTATAATGATACATATATAACCGATTTACCATTTCTTTGTTGACTTTACTGGAAACTAAACTATTCTCAATAAAAAGCTGTAAGGAATGAATAAACTTATCACTAACATGCTTGTATTAAATCTTTCAAAGCTGAATTGCACTAATGGGAAACTGTATATTTTTTACATCTAAAATCCTGCCCTATAATCTCAAATGAAAAAAACTCAAATATGCAACAAAAACATTACTATTATGGCAAGAATTTGGAAAACATATTGACTTTTAATTATCTGCAGTGAAATTTAACATTAATTACAACTGATATGAACATGATTACTGCACAATACAAGTGAAGCTCGTTAACTTATAAGTGTGATACTAATTTTCCTGAAAGATTTCATTAACTTTTATTCATATTAGACAAAAGATAAATGCTCTTAGTTACGAATTTTTGCAATAAGAATAATCATGTGAAAAGTACATTTTAACGGTTTAAATGGCGCACAACCTCGAAAGGTTATTAGCGCCAGACGCATGTTTAGTGTACACAATTAAAACACATAAAACACAATCACAAATTTAACACAATAGACATATAAAATCAAAAGAAGTAATAAAATGATGAATATTTAAATTAAGTTACTCATGATTTATATAAAAATATGAAATGTGAAGCAGTGACTCATGATTTATATAAAATACGAAATGTGTGTTTAAATTACATTAAATACAAAAATATTATCAAATTAGATGATAAAAACCTGTTTCTTTCAAATATTGTAATAAATTAGTATTGACCTCTTTCAAGATTATTCGGTCAAGAGGCAAGGTCAGAGTCTTTAAAATACTTTAAAACGAAGTGTGTTAAAATACATGCAGTCAACTAAAAAGTGATGCATTGTCAGAACATTCCCACAGAAAGAACAAACAGGTTCACTCTCAGCCTTCAAAAGGTAGCTGTGTGTGACACGGGAACGACTAATCCTTAGACCTGTTAACAAGACTTCCTCCCTCCGCTTTCGTATGTTTCATGTGTAAACAACAGAACAAAACATGGGAAATCCAAGCCACCTGTACTTTGATGCAGTAACCATTCAACAAATGCCACATGTTATGGATACTTTTCCATCTGCAATGTGCATATGCATTAAAGTTAGAAATACCGAAGGTAGAAAGGCCATGGTGTGCAGAATACCCCAGACAAAAAAATGCTGACATTGCTGCAATAACTGCATGTATATTTGGATTGATCATGGCTGTCAGACATTCTGCATTTTAACACTGAATGGCAGATTCCCATGCAAACGAGAAAATAATTAGTACTGTGGCACGTCTGGTAGGGTATCTTTCCTGATATAGTCTCACAACAGCTAATTCATTGCCATCAATTAAACCATACCTTAAGCGCACACTCACCAGCTAAGTATTCATAAAACATACATGTTCTTTACAGATTCATACAACCTCATCTATTCTAATACATGTTTGAAAAGCATAACAGATCACAGGAAACACAGCAACAGAGAGGGAATTAAGAGATGGAGAAAAAGCATTTTGAAACATAACAATAAATCTTTAAAAAAAGATATATTTAAATAAATTCATACTTTTCTTAAATTTAATTTTTAATGTATTCACTGCTGATGACCCTTCAAGAATCATTTCCTTGTGATGTTCAGCATAAGGAATTACACGTCCCCTGTGTAACCAATCATATTCACCAGTTCCAAAGTATAAAACAGGAAAATCTCCATCAAGATGTTTAATTTTCTGTACATTCTGTGGAATATTATCTGGATGCATTATTTTTCCTGGCCACCATCTAAAGAGGAAAGAAAAAAGAAATGTGAATTCTTGTAATGGACTTTTTGCGATACATATATAAAATTCTGTGATTACTACAACCCACACATGTACAACTATAACACATAATCTAATAAAAATAGTCTTATAGGGACTTTTACATGTTATATCAGTGTTACTCACTGTATGACACGCACTTTATGACATTTCAATTTTAAAGACCTAAATTACTCAGAACTCTAAAATTTAAGGATGACTAGAATACTTTAACACGTTGCCGATGGTGCAGATATTCATTGTTTTTTTTTTTTTTTTTTTTTTTTTTTTTTTTTTTTTTTTTCATGCAGCAGTGCTTCAATTAGCGGTCCATCTCATGGTCTGTTCATTTCGAGAATCTCCCTAGTGAAGTAATAATAACAAAAAAGAAAAAAACATTTTTTTAGATTTGTATGAAGGATCCGCGAGGAAGATGAGAAAGTTATCTAAAGAATGCTATAAATGCTTAGCAAGCCTAAAAGGTACTCAGTACGTCACGAATAGAGCAAAGAAAGTAACAACGCATTGCAATAATTGTAAGGGCAAACTAGCACTTTGCTTAGCCTGCTTTAAAAAATTGCATAGAAAAGTTAATAAATATACTTAATGATAAGTTAAATTTTAAGTTATTTGTTTTGTACTGAATGTTTGATTATAATGTTGAAATGTTGATCTATACTGTTGATTAATTAATAAAATTTTGCACTACGTATTATTTGATATACAAATGTGACCAATCGGTGAATCATGCCAGCCTGCAGAACCATCAAGCATGAACCACCGCTAACAGACAAACATGACCTACCAGTGGGTCAGGCTGGCGTCAATGTGTTAATACGGTTGCTGCAAAATCATTTAACTTATTATGATAACACTGTTCTCCAGCTGCTTTTTATTTAAAAATACTGACCACAAAATGCATCTGGAAATCAACACATAGTTATGAAATTGAATGCCACAGCTGTCTTCAAAAAGAGCACAAAAAGTATGATTATTGGAATATATAGCAAATCATAGGAGGGATACCTGCCTAAGGACAGAGATGTCTTTCTGGAAGACTTTCTAACAGCAACTGGCTTGTATTCTTGTCACACATGCAGAAAAACCACACACACAAAAAAAAAAAATCAGCCTGCCCATTTGCCTAAGGTCGAATGCAGGTCGAAGTACCAGTATTAAATGGTCTTAGTTACATGGCCACTGGTTGGATGATTTAAAAAAAAAAACTTTTCAAAAACATAACTAATTACTAAAATAACACATCAAAGGAAAAGCCACAGAATTATGTAAATCAAATTTTCTCAAGTCATCTTAAGCTGCGACTGTATAATTATACAGGTACAGTGATGTACCACTGTCAATTATCAAACTCCAAGGTAGGACGTTGTTGAACTGCAGGGTACAGGATTGTTTTTGCTGCAAAATATTGCAATATACGTGAGTCAATATATCAGAAGCATCCAAACACTGCCACAGTGTTGTAGATGGTGAAAACCACAACTTCTAGGTAAACTGATTGACAAATCATCAGACTAGATGGTGATTCAGCTTTCAGCAAATTCATTTAAAATTGGATATTGCACACACAACAAAGTATACACAAATCATTAAAATGCATCTGCATACACAGGTGACAAGCCAAATATCCAGCTGCTAGTATTCCTATAAGCCTACGTTGTACAGGCATGATATATAGCAAGACAGCAATGCAAGCTTGAATACAACTTACTCAAACATTGCTGTAAATTGATCTCATCATAGTATGCTTCAAATTACAATGCTGCTTAGAAGATGAACCCAGGGTTTTCACACAGCTCTACATTATCACAACACTGAAAGAATGTTGCAAACAAATATTATCTCTTAGCATTTACAGTCTGAATATGAATTACAGTTATAGTGGCAATGATGATGCAATTTTCTGCCATTTTTGGAACTTTTTAACAACTTCATCAACTGTTAGGGAAATGAGCTTCTAACTACCTACAATGGCAACAGCAGCTGAGGGTAGCTTCTAGAATATTGTATTCTAAAGGAAATTAAGTTATTGCAATTGCATACTTGCCAACACAAAACACTCAAAAATCAGAATAATTTTCCCAACAACAAAACCACTTTAAATGATAAAAATATATGCAAAAGAGAATATGCTTCTAATAATGATTTACTTTTGAATAGTAACTAATTAATATCTGAAAGTTCAGTTAGCAATTATTAAATGCAAATAGTACAAAAATACTTACACATAAAAAAAATATATTATTGTTTAGAATTAAACTTTGATATAAAAATCAATTTTTAATCAGTTTTCATACAAATGCTAAGGACAGTGGCAGATTTTGCTTTCACTATGAAAGAAACTCTTTGGTGTTGGCTTGCTTCTGCTAATAAAAGTTTTTCTACTGTGGCATTACTAATACTGGATTTAAATTTAGTCCTCGTTTTAGTAAAAACACTGAAAATCCTCTTGCACTCAGCATTACAATGCAGAATTACCAAAATGGCCAAAATTGTTCTAGACAGTTCAATTTAATTTAAAATTAAATCAGCACTTTTCAATTTTCCAATTAAACTCCACTGGGTGTATATTCTTGTTGCTTTTATAACTTTATTCAAGTTTATTTAACTAAGTATTTTATTAACATTCAATAGAGCTTTTTATCTTAATTCTAGAAGGATTTACTTCTTACTTAAAAGATGTAAGAAATGAGTTACAAGTATTGATAATTCTAGATAAAAATTTCTCTAAAGATAACCAGCACGTACAGACATGTTCCAAATTTTTCTATTTCAACTGTTTGAATTGTTTCAATTTTCCCTTCTTTTAGAAATCTTTTCAAGTGTAGATGACCACATGAACATTGAGTTTATCCACACTTATTGGCAAAGAAGCAGCCCCTTTTTCACATGCTAAATTTTAGAGGTGACAGATGCAGCTCATAACTTGCAAACATTTTATAACTAAGGAGCCTGCAACACCAGTCTTTGAGTCTACCATTACTGGTGCATTGTCAACACCAAGTGCTAAGCAATTATCTAGGTTGGTTGGTTTACTTTTATTGGCCCAAAATCTTAAGGATTATGATGCGCCAGACAAATGATGAATAAATTTCAAATGCACAAAAACTGAAATACATTAGTTGAGGTTCATATGAGCAGTGTTTTAACAGTAAACTAAAAATCACTCACTTGTATACTAACGATAAAACATAGTGAAACTAAAACGCACAAGGAGCATAATACTGTATTATATAAACTGTTATCATATCCTGTAATGCTGATGAAGGCATACACAGATGAATGTGAAAAATGCTCCAGTAACGGGTAGAGCACAAAAAAAAGGGGGGAATAATTCAAATCATATGGGAAAAAGGAAACATCTTAAAAATTTTATAAGGTTCTTATGAGGGTATCTTCCAATGAGTTCTATAAAACTAGTATTCACAGAGTTAAAATAATACACACGTGATTAAATGCAGCACAACAGATTAAAATATGATTGACTGAAATAGGAACATTGCAAGTACAACAAATAGGCTTACTATCTCCTTTCAATAGATATTGATATGTCAATCTGTTGCAACCAATTCACATGCGTGTCAACAGTACATCCTCCTTTCGTTTCCCTCTCGACTCCCAGTACTCCAACTTGGGTTTTACCTGCCTTCACTTGTTCAGTGCCTGACATTCCCACTGCTTTCTACCTCGTCAAGATCTTTGATGTAATTCCATGTCTGTAATGGGAACACCATTTTTAAAAGTAACATCAACTGATTTTGCTGCGACATCTGCAAGTTCATTTGCTTTGATGTCAGCACTTGAAGGCAGCCAGGAGTACACAACAGAATAACCTGCATTCCTCAAATGAAGGTGTGCCTAATTCTAACACCAAGGGGTAGGTAGTATTTGCATTTATTGATTTAAGAGCACGCAGTCAAAGTATATGATGAACTTTCTCCTATCCTGCTTAGAAATAAAAGTTAAAAAATTCAAAATGGCAAGAGTTTCTGCGGTAAGAACAGAAGCAGTCTTATGAAGTCAACTACTCTTTATTTCTTTATCACAAACAATAGCTGCCCCAACATGATCATGATTCTTTGAGCCATCAGTAAAAATTGATCTACAGTTAGAATGTCTGCTTCTATGCTCTGAGAATATGTTTCTGAGAATATTTGTTAATGTTAATATAAAACATTAGTGTTGCTCTTCTTATGTCTTCCAAAAATGTCAATTAGGGGAATATTCACTTCTTGCCAGGGAGCAACAACTGAAAGCATCAAAGCTTTTGGGATGCAGATCATTTAAAATGAATTCTTTGATCAGTGAGTGAATGTGAAGATAAAAAGGTGGGATACCAGAAGGGCATGCTTGGTGCAAACACAAGTTCTGGTCAGATATGAGTTGAACAGGATGTTCAGCTTGTAACATTACTATGAAATTCAAGGGAACACTGCTTGAGTCTGAATTCCAGAGATGGTTCAAAACAGATTACATATAAACTTTGGACTGGAGAAGTTCTGAAAGCTACAAAGCATGTCCGTAGATCTTGATGATGGACCGGATCCAATTTCAATATAACAGAAAATCATACTGATAAATAACTGACTCAATAGCTAAGTTTGGAACGAATTAAAGCTCTATAAATAGGGGAGCACAGAACAAAGTTCGGCTTCCCATGAAGTATTAGCTAGGACTTTTAGTGTGTTGAGAGCTTTAGCACGTTTTTTTCTTTAAGATATGCGGAAGTAATGTGCGCTTTCTATCTGCTTCTGACTCGACTCGAAGCAAGGAGCCATTAAGATGCAGCTCTGGTTCAAGGTGTAGCTATAAAATTTTAAACCACTGTTTCTGTGCAGTTATTGTGATTTGAGTTGATACTGATCTCAATGATTTTGTTGCAAATGCATAAGATATATCAGGTCTTAGCTGATTACAGAGAACAAGTCTTCTGGCTTCTGCAAATAGTATTTTTTGTGTAACTTTAATGTTTTGAATTTGTTTTTCTCTCTACCATTTCAGAAATGATCTTGAAAACAAGGGGTGTTCACCTTTACAATTTATACACAAGGAGACAGCAGAGCAGACTTCACTGCCATGGCCAACAATAGAACATCGAGCGCATGTGAGGCTACCACAAGAGGTTTTTCCATGTCCAAAATGCTGACACAATGGATTCAGTATGCATAGCCTGACTGAGCAATTTAGGTATCCAGCACCACACACCTTTTGATCTACCAACTCTTTAACGAACTCCTCTTCAGTTACTGACAGTAAATCTATTTCAGAGATTACTCTTCGGGATGAATTTAGGGTGTTATGTGGCTTTACTGTAACGTTTGCTTGTAATAATTTAGTTAATTTTAGGAGACTATTAGACTGCCTTCCAGACACAGTCTGTACCAAAAGGTCACCAGACCAAAGTCTCTTAATATTTTTCCGTTCTCCTACAGATAACAAAAGAAGTTTATCTTCAGAGCTAGTTATAATTTAAAAGTGTGGGCAGACTTCATTTAATGCAGTGCTTTCTATATCATTTTTAATCTTTTGATTACAATCGAAGTATCAGGTGCATTGTTGGAACAGGAAGATATCACAGCAATCATATTTAAATGGACAAAGATTCGTGGGTCTGTCGCCACACCACACACCCCAACAGGGGGATTCCTACGCCAAAGCTAGCCGAACCTATATGCAAACTGAAGCCCAATGGTCGGCTCTCCCAAGAGCAGGTACACCCGAGAGCTTATCCCCAAGCCATTGATACAAGGACTAGTGACCAACCAACTGACAGCCATGAGGACGACAAGGTGACTCCCGTTTAGCTGAAGCAGAAGCCAAAGCAGCGTGTTAGGGACAGTACCTCGCCTCTTAACTACCAGGACATCTGCTTTCCAGTGACATGGGTCTAAACGCACAGCAAAAATGCATGGCTAGTTTTCTTGCTATTCGGAAACTAAAGACAAGGGCTGTTCCAATTGCTTATGATGAGCCCCAACCTCGGAAAAGGAAAACCACAAGGAAGAAGGAAACGAAAAATAAAAAAATTTACAGTTAATGGAGAGGAAAAGAGGATAGATCACTGGGACTCCAGGATTGCAACACCCATCTCATCAAGATGATCCCCTGGAGAGCTAGGGTACCTCGAGGCTGCCATACTCGCACTCACAAAAGTAACCCAATGAGGGATAACGATTATCTAGAGCATGGGTTCTCAACCAGTCGTACACAAAGGAAAAATTATTTTTAACTATTAAATCCAAAAATTATAACCCCAACATCCTGCTGATTGAGTTTTTCCTCTAACATGCATAAATTTATGTGATCTGAGTTATGTTCAAGAGTGGTAGTGGTACTAAAGGTTTTCAATTTTTGTTTAGATGGTACGCACTAGTCAAAAGGCTAAGAACCACTGATCTACAGGAATCGCATTCTTTTAAAGTTTTAATAATTAGCTGTGCTGTATTTAAACCGGTGAAATCTTTTTCTAAAGTGGAGACAGAAAATAAACTACACTCAATTTCTGAAAACGTGACAGAAGTTTTGCCACAATATTATTGCTTATATCCACAGAGAGGCAGAACAGAGCTGTTGTAATGCAATCAATAACTGAAGATTTATTTTTCATATCCATTTCTTAAATACTTGTAGCCATTTTTGACCTTGCACTTGAGAATTTCTTAGTGATTCCATTACAGATACATTTTTCTAAATAAAGCCGCACCATGCTCTGATGCATTTGATGACAGGTTGTGCTCCAATAAAAAGGTACAGAACAGGCATTCTGCGTTAATAAGTTTTCAGTCCTTTGTTCAGAGAAAAATATAATTTTTCCTTTATTTTTTCAATAAAACTTCTTTTCTCCTTGCATTTTTCTGTACTGTAATGTTTTATTCTTTAACATAAAATTATATTTACTATCCTTTGATATTGGAGTGGCAACTCCATATTTGAATCTTATAACCATTGCTCAGCAACGTCAGAAATTGTTTAAAATTATTATTCTGAAAGTTTTACCAGCTAGTAGATGTCTGAAAAATTTAGAGAAAGAAACTGTAATAGTAAGCTGGAGTGTGAAGTTGTAACGAATAGAATTGTATTTAAATTATCTATATTTGTAAATTCAGAATAAATTTTTTTGTTTTACAAAGAAGCTGATCTGTTATTTCGATAAAAACTGCAAAATACATTACAGTACATATGTTTAAGAACATCAGCCTTTCCACCATGGAAAATTGAAATATCTCGATGACAAATGGGGCACTTTGCAAATGTATTACATTTCCTTGATGAATAATATAAAGAACGTCATCTGTGTAACATTTTTAAAAAGTGCATAAGTACTTTACTTTTTTGCATACTTAACTAAGACAGAAGATTGTAATTTCTTGAACTCCTTCTCCAAAGCACATGAAACTCACAACACTCAATGGTGAGACAAATAAACTAACAACATCGATCTGGTTTTGTACTTATTGGCTAATGTATCACAAATGGCCCGCAGTGGTATTTGATGCTTATTGGAGAACTGGAACATGTTTTCAGACACGAGTTCTCACTCGCACAGCATAAGCATGCCTTAATGTCTCACTGATGAAGCAACTTTGGTTTTCTTTTACAGATCTAAAGAAACACCATGTGCTTTCAGATGCCCAAAATCACTTTTTTTGGATGCAGATAATGAAGTGTTAAGCAAAGCTACACAAAAATTTTAAGAATAGCAGACTTAGTGGATCTGCGTTGTAAATCCAGTTGGCTAGAACACGATTGAAAATTGGGAGTCTCCCTGCTAAATCGATAGAGTTAGCAACTTCGCAATTGCTGTACGTTGGTATAATTGTTTCACACTTTAATATAAAACTAATATTGCATATTTTTAAAATAGCATACAAAGATTATAAATTTTAAAAATATACTACCTGTATTTTCCTGTCTTTCCCCAGATAATTGCTCCATAAGTTAAATGCTTCCTCTTTGTGCAATCTTCACAAAAAAAATCTCCCTCAGATATTTCAACATTTATGCAGGACTTATGATATGCATTTGGACAAGTCTCACAACAAACCAGTTCTCCACCTGTATTACATGAAAAAAAATAAACAAACATTTACTATAAAATTATTACACACATTTACTACAAAACTGATCAATTTTTATCTTCAAGACGAAAGCTGCAAAACGCCATTTAATATACATACAGTTGCGTTTTTTTAGTTTTCTCAATATATAACAGATGGCAGCACTAGTATTCAAATTTTAAAAGAATTTTTTAAAAAAATTTCTTATGCGATATAAATTGTGTGGACAACTTGAACGAATGTTTTTAAACTTAGGTGTATTTTTTACAGATAAAAATTATTCTTGGTATTAGTATATATTAATTAAAAATATTTGAAATTAAAAGGTGTTATCCCAGCATGCATGTAGCAAATGCTGCTACTATATGGTAGCACCATTTAAATATTTTTACGAGAATTTGTCCCATTGCGATTTTGATATCTTCGATTTAATTTTCTTCTTAGATTTAGTTTATGGTTATTTCTAAGTACAACATTCTTTAGTTTTGTAACATTATAGCAAGAAAGAAGCTTAATATGTCAGAAGCTATAGAACTTTCTGAAACCATTTAAATGTTTTTCCAAGAATTTGTTCCATTGCGATTTTGATACTTTCGGTTTAATTTTCTGTTTATATTTACTTTATGGTTATTTCTAAATATACCATTTTTCAATTTTGTAACATTATTGCAAGAAAGAAGTTTAGTATGTTAGAATCTTTAGAACTTTTTGAAACTCTTCCTTCAAGTGCAGAATCTAGAGTTTTAGATTCGCATGATACTGAACAGGAATATATTCCTGGTGTACATGAAATTCATCAGTGCGAGGAAAGAGTGATCCTGAAAATTTTCCTAAAGCTTCAGATTCTGAAAACTCAGATTTTACTGCTCCAGGACCTTCGAAACCAATAATTCCCATATGGAATAAGAGAGATATGAGCTCAAGCTCATAAATATTTAGTGAAAGAACCGACCCATTAGATGAACTACTGTCTTTGGAGGAATTTTTGCCCATAAATATACTTCTAAATATATTGACCTGTAATTTTACAGAAATCCTGGTTTTCCAAACAAACCTTTACGCAACCCAAAAAGTACTAACTTTTTAAATTTTTGCCACTCTTAAATTTTGGATCCCTAGATTTGAAAAAAAATTTTCATCCCTCAATTTTGTTGCTCAGTGTTTCTTTAAAATTCAAAAAATTGTGTCTTATCTAAATTCTGCAGTCCGGTGCTGCCATACGAGCTCTGACACCTGTTCTGGTTTTATGTAAAAAACAAATCAGTTAACATTAATTCAAATAGCACTAAATGTAATCATTTCGCCTATGAATATCATAACAAAATAAAACATATTTTTAGCAAATGGAAAGAAATGTTTATTAAATTTTTCCTCATCAACATCTTAGCGCAATTAAATTAAATCTGCAATCAATTGTGTTATACCAACAAAAAAAGGTTACCATATTTTATGTTATTAAATTACTAACACGCAAAAAAGACGTTTTTTGGGTATCGCTGCACGAGTCATTACTCAAGTTATGTGTTTGTATACATGCGGTGATAAAAGCAAAATATAATAAATAATAATTCCCCAGGTTTGCGTCAGGGATATAAAATATCAGTAGATGTAAAATCAACGATTTCTTTACACAAAATGTTTCGGTTTGAGATGTATGCGAAGTAGATACAGAGTCAAATTATTGATCACACTAATTTATGCTAAATTAACGTTTCTTCTGTAACAAGGTATTTATTTAGGGTCGAAGAATTAATTCACAATTAAAAATTAAGAATCGGGACTCTCCACATTTTTTTATTATGGGGGAAAAAAATCAAATACGCATGCTTAAGCCTATCAAAAAAAATTGTTGCTGGTTTTGAGGTCCGAATTTTAGATCATTTTGGATATTGGACGGCCGGATCTCAGACTTCGGTATAGCTGAATTTAACACGTACAATATCATATCTCAATCATAAAAATCTAGTTAAAATTTATATATATATATATAAATTAAAATTTTATATTTATACAATTCAGGAAAAAGCTTCTTAAACAAATGACTCACATAATCTGCAGTATTTGGGCCAATAACTGTGTTAATGAAAAACTGTGTAAACAAACACTTTGCCCAAATAACACTAACCTATCTAATCTAACACTAACTTATCTGATATTAAAATCATGGGACCTTCAGATAAAGTTGCAGCATTTCAGAATTTTATCCAAATTTTCTACATTGCTTTCTTTACTATTATTATTGCATATGCTTCACAATATCACTTTTTCAATCACTAAATACAATTTTATAAAAATTTTCTTGCAAAATATACTAAAAAAATTTAACCTTTGCCTGTTCCTGAATACAAAGGAGCTCCCACCAGTGGCCGACTGGTCAAGACCACTAAATACTGGTAGTTTGACAGGGGTTGGATTCAATTCCAGAACAAGCTGGCTGCATGATTGGTTTTTATGATACCCTCCCCCATATGTAATGTGAATATGAGCCAGTTTCTACCAAAAAATCTTACACTAAGGCATCCCTCCTCTTAAGCAGATTACCCTTGTGGCTTTGCCATATCCAGGTAACCTAACATTAATACAAAGACATTCATTACTGTAATCTGGTTAAAATACTGACACTATTGTTTTTTGATTCCTTTTCAAGCAAATTTTACCAATATACAATTTTTGACATCACTTAACACATTTTGTGAATGGCGTTATTTCTGAGCAGGTTTCCAAGTTATCACTATGAAATTTTGCCAAACACCTTCCAAAAAATCATTAAACCAGAAATTTATACATATTATAAAACAAGAAAGTAGGAAGGCATATGATTTTCACATTTCATTGCATTGTCAAAATTTTAATGACATCACAAAAATGTTTATATATTTGAAAATTTGGGGAGACATTTACAATACCAATTCAAGAATTGCAGCCATTTTAATGGTGGCAAAATGGGGATTAATCACCAGACCTACTTGCATATATTATAGGAATGTGGAAGTGAGGAGAAACTCCAGCATTTTTCCCTCTACCTGGGGAAAAAAGAATTTGTCGAATCCTTACAGAGATGAATAGTAAAAGCAAAGTCAATGACAAAGTTACCATTCTTCACCATGTGATATGATAAACCTGAAATCTTATAAAAACACATGAAAAAATAGTTTTCAGGACAAATTGCCATACTAGAATGATTTTTGACATCTTTACACAAAATAATGCTAAAAAAACAGTATACACAAAATCATGAAAACTACAGCAGTTCTCATAAAAATTACAAAAAATTCGAAAAATTTGGTACATATATATTTTAATTATTTCATATATAGATATCTTTATTAAATATATTAATGAGACATATTCTTGTGAGAAAACCAGTGGAAATACTCATTCCTTATTTTAAGCAGATTTTCCTCAAGTATTTAACTCTTAAGTAGCAAACATTTTACTAATATACGTCCTAATTTTTTCTTTGGTCAACATAGTCATTCTTCAAAGGAGCTTGCAAATGATTTCTTATTTTCAATGATTCATTGCTGCTGCTGGCTTATAATAGAGGCACAGTACAGCTTTAACCGATAACGCTACAGTTATGAAGTATTTGTTTTCCTGGCACAATTTTCATTCCAAAGCACCATGTACTTTAGATCTTTTTTTTCTGCACTTTATAGTCCTGAATAAAATTACTCTGTGTCAGGATTATAATAGCTTCTAACAAGACTTTAAAAATTCAAAACAAATGGAAATGCAATATAAAAATTTGAAAATTAAGCATCTCAAAATATTTTAAGACAGAATCTTTGAAATTTATTCATTTGAAAACTTGGTTTGGCCTTTCAATCTCCTTTCTTCACATGTATTGTGGATCGCTTAATCTCAGATAAAGCAAGAAGTAATTTAATTTAAATATGCATTACGAATCGCACAAGTTACTTTTAATGACGTTTTTATGGGATAAACTTCCGTTTACCAACACTTACCTTGGCAGCATATACAACAATATAAAACATTGATGGTTTGGCTTTTCCTTTGCTCATTTGATGATTTCTGCTTTATTGCCGTTTTTCTTTTTTTCTTAGATGATTCGTACTTTCTTGGTATTTTCCTTTGCTCTTTTGATGATTTGTGCTTTCCCAAAAAATGATCTGGGCACACTAATTTGTTTGGTCCCACCATCTTTGATCCAGCAGCAATACATGTATGATAAGAATGATAAGCAGTTGGGCATTCAGTACACTGCAACATAGTTCCTGAAATATTTTGATAAAAAGAAAAAAGCTTTATTAAAACAAAGATTTATAAAATAACTTTTAACAGAAAAAGTTAGCCAATTTGATAATGAAAATTCCAACACATTTTTTAGATGATTATATAATCAATTTATGCATAATACAACAGAATTTTTAAAAAACGCTAAAAGGGCAAAAAGTAAAAATTCAGTGGCTCTGTATCAAATTTAACTAAAATAACAGAAATGAAGTCCTTCATCCAGCTTTTAAAAATTTCTGTTCGTAAAAATATAAAAATTAGTCATTAGCTAAATGGGCAACTTTGAAGTGTCATTAATATACTGATAATGTCAATACGGAACTGTCTACGTCATCTCAAGTATTAAGGTAAAGAATATGTGGCTATTTGCCTAAGGGAAAGGATGCCTCCATAGAAGGCATTGGAGCCCTCCGAGCGGTGCAGGTTTCCGAATCTCTCAAGATCTGTATTTAAACAGCAAACATTAGCTGAATTTATATAATTACCTATTTTAGTCTCTATTTTCATAAACTTACATTCATGAAGATGATATTTACATTATTAAAGGAAGTAAGAAAGCAAAATACTTTAAATTATAAGCTATAAAGCAAGGGTGGCCAAATTTTTGGGATCCGTTGTCTACTCCACATTTAAAAAATCAAAGGCAGTCTACCAACAGCATAGCTAAATTAACGTAATGTACATGTTTATAATATATTTATTTTCAGTCACAAGAAAAAATGGTAAATTATCTAATTTTTTCTAAAAAAAAACTTTATATTAATTTTTACAAAATAAAAAAAAATTACTGACGAAAATAATCAAAGTATTCATATATCAAAAATTGACCATCCTATATCTGCAACAAGTTTATCATATTGTGGCTGGTACAAGCTTATTGCAATGCGTAAACACGAAATTAAATGTTAATCTGTTAAACACGACCAATGTTTGGTTTTTATGGCGTTCATGGTTGAAAAAGCAGGTTTGCAAAGATACATCGATCCAAAGTATAATTTCAAATACAAAATCAATTTGTAAATATTTGAAAACGTTTCCTCAGAAATTAATTTCCAAAAATCAGTATCGCTAGATGCTCTGGATTTTAAAAATATATCGCATCTTAATTTAATGATTTCTTCCTCAACTATGACTGATGTGATATCTATTAAATGTTCTATTTTTTTCAGATACTCCACCAATGTTGACATTTTCATTAAATGGAAATATCATAGAATTGAGTACTTCTTCCAACCTAATTAAGTCAGCGAATCTTCTTTCAAATTCTTCAAACAAAACATCTAAGTGTTCGGCGAAATCTTCGAAGTCTCGGTTTGGATTATAGATGCACTCTTCCTCCATGTTTTTGAAGTTTTTCAATTCATGTTTTCTTAATTGAGACACATACCTTTTTATCTTTTCTTTGGAAGTTTTAATCACGCTCATCATGTCTGTTAAACATTTATTCTTTCCTTGTAGATTTAGGTTTAAGTCGTTAAGTTTTGCAGTGATATCACAGAGAAAAGCTAGTTTCATTAGCGATTTCTCATCTTCCAATTCAGTATGTGCTCTCCTTTCATTTGTAGAAAATTTTTTATTTCTGCTAACAGAGTATGAAATCTTTTTAAAAAAGCACCATGGCTTAGCCACCTCACGTCTGTGTGCAATAAAAGATCTCTGTACTTTGATTCAGTTTCTTCTAAAAGCGCCCGAAATTGTCATCTCTGAAGACTTCTTGAACGAATTGAATTGACGATTTCAAAAGCAATTTGCATTATATCACTTGACTTTAGTATTTTCGAACATAATACCTGTTGACAGATAATGCAATGATAGCTGGGAATTTCCTCATAATTGCACAGGGCAACAAAATAAATTCGATTTCTGACCATTGCTGGAGCTCCATCTGTTGTAATAGAAACCAATTTATATATTGGAAATCCTGTCTTATCAATAAAGTTTTTAAATGAATTGTAGATATATTGGCTTCTCGTTTGTCCTTTCGATGGAATTTGGAATTACAGTTAATAACTCTTCTTTTGAAGTCATATCTTTGAAAACCATTCTCACAAAAATGCGTAACTGTGCAATGTCACTAATATCCGTGGATTCATCAAATTGAAGAACTTACAAGCTTTTAAATCGTCATTTAATAAATCCTCCAAGTTATTATTCATAGCTTCAGTCCGTTGCATCACAGTGTTAGGCGACAAAGAAATATTTATTGACGATATTATTTCAGATTTGTTTTTAAAATCGTGATAAAGCACTTCTCCTACTTTACAGAAAGCTTATTTTATAAATTCCTAATCTTCAAATGGTTTTTTTTCACTTTATCAAAACTTCTGTAATTTTAAACGACGCCAATGTTACTGCTTTAGCTTTGGGTGCCTGGTCTCGTAAATAATGATTCCTGTAAATGTAAATTCAACTTTAATTCATGCACTTTAATCTAAGTAACCCACTTTGTCAAGTCGTTTCTATTTAATTCTCCACTGTAAAACGACAAATTCATTGTATTACTTTGCACAGTTTGTTTTAGGTTTTAAAGCCTAAACTGTAGTAAATTTTTATTTTAAATAATTCATTAATTCTATGTAATCAGTCATAAATTAAATTTTTTAATATCCGAGGTCATTATCGGGAAGGTCGCGCGGACTACCTAAAATGTCTTCGTGGTCGATGTCTTGGCCACCCCTGCTATAAAGTAAGAAATTTAGGACTAATTTCTCACAAAGACCAAAAATTTAAATTTATAATAAATTTTATAGAGGAAAACTTTAACCCTTGTCTTAGTTCTAATGCTTAAATTTGTAAAACTATTAAAATAGTATAAGTGTTAATAGCTGCTTATTGTATTTTATAATTACAAAACAATTTTTTAAGAACAAAATATAAACATTCCTAGAATTTTCACACATTAAGCAGCTGAAAAATTATCAGTAAAGACAAAGTAAGAAATTTAGAACTAATTTTTCACAAAGACCAAAAATTTAAATTCAAAATAAACCTTATAAACTTCTATGCAGCCATTTAACAGTATTTGAACCTAGCTCAAATCAGCAGTGCTCAGCAATCTTACCATTCAGCTGCTGGTGGTTCCCAGAATGTGAGAGTAAATTTGATTACAGCATTAATGGAAAGCATTTCAATGGTAGTTAGAATAGACACTGAAAGAGAATAAAATCAAATTCTTTCAAGGCGAATATAGATAAAGATCACTATCCACTAGAGGGCCATTTCATTGCTTTAACAGTAAAAATAAACTTTTTGATAACACTCTACACAGACTAACTGCAAGTTTGCTAAAGGTACATGTATGCACATAACAATATTTGCTGAGCATACCAGGCTAAAAGGACCATGGCTATAAGGACCAGGCTTAAGACCTCTGCTTAAAAACACCATGGTTTTTATTACTATTAAGATCTGTGATTTGTACCAACCACTGCTTAGAGTTACACCTACCATAGTTTATGTTTCATACCAAAGGATATAAATTTACAATGGTTTCTATCAAGGGATGTACATTTACAACGGCTATAGAGCCATGATAAGAAACCTTATGTGATGGCATGCGATATTTAGAAGTTCATTATCTCTTCAGTATTTAAAATGTGTCAGGTCCAGAACATAATATTTATTTCCCATTGCTTGAGTTATGAATACAAAGATTTAAAATTCTTCTAGAGTGAAATGAATAGAACAGCATTAATGCTTGTTTCAATCAATTATCATTAATTTTATACACCACTGTGTTATGAACTAAATGACAATTACTGTTCAAACAAATAAAAACTTTTGCTCAAAAAGGCAATGGCAGAATAATACATCTTCAAGAGTCTATTTGAAATTAAAAGCAATAAACTAATGAGAATTTCAAAGTGACTGCCTCCAAAGAAATAACATACCAAAGATGGTTATAACTTCAATACTTTAAAGAAATCACAACCTGGACCTACACATTCCTATGAATTTCATATTTCAGAAGGGCAATGGAGCTGAGTACAGCTTGATATGAAGCTCCTCTTGGGGGGGGGGAATTTTTAACTAAGTTTGGTTTGAAAATGCTCGAGTGCCCCCTTGTGGAAAATGAGCTGCTTGTTTTTCACAGCACCTAACTGATGTTCAAAGCAAAAGTCATCAATCATAAGGTTACAGAATGAGTTGAAAGCCTCAAAAGCAGTCACTTTTAATGCCTTTCATAGGCTTCACAAAAGATATTTTCTAAAGGTCATGAATAACATGCAGCCTCATCATCCCATTGTCACAAAAGGTGATCTTTTTGAAAATCTTAGCAGCTGATTGCTTCTTATTTCAATCAGATAATGTAAAAAGTTGTATTTTCTCTCATGCCCATTCAAAAAAAAAAAAAAAAAAAAAAGCAGGTTTTTAAACGTTTTTCTATTGGCTATGAGGATTAAATGAAAACAAACCTTTTCTAGCCATTACATTCTTCGGATTTTCATTGTAACAAGTGAGGCATGTATGGCGTGGACATATATTCTTCTCTTTATTACCACAGTCATATCTGCTTAAACATTTTTCATGGTAAGATCTGCCACACTTAGATAGGGAACATTTCATAAAATCACCATCAGGACTTTTGCATACAAAACATGAATGTTCATCTATAAAAAAAAAAAAAAAAAAAAAAAAAAAAAAAAAAAAAAAAAAATACAGCATTGAATGTTGAAAAATACAAACTTCACAAAAATTGACATTAAACACTGCACGCACTTAATAATTAGATTTAGATTATTTAACATCACTTACATTTCAATTTACAAATAAATAAAAGTATTTAAAATTTAGCTTTATCAAAGCTGGGCTGGCTAGTCCAGGGATGCAACGTGATGTAAAATCATACTGCTGCTATTTGCCTTTCCGTTGAATGATTCATGATTGAGGCATTGTCATCATAATGTGAGATTCCAGTTATATAATCATCATTTACCATTGCTTCTAATATTCTATTAATTCGAATATAGCATTTTTTCCTGCAATATCTGAAAATCTTTAGATTCACAGCTCTCATCATCACGAAATTTGATAGTTGGCTTTATATCATGTCAAGCATTTTTAAAAATATTTGTAGACACATCCTCTCGTGATCTTGCAATGGCCACACATTAGCTTTTATATTAAAATACTTCTTAACTCTTGAATAATCTTGAAAATTTTCAATATCCATTGGCTGTACATTTTCGGCAAAACATAAAACAGAGATGTTATCATTTCTAAAATAGTAATTTTGATAATATTAATAATAATTTTATTTATGAAGCAAAACAAATCAATTTCCTGTTCGCCCACTTTCATCTCTTTAATGGAGTTGATGGCCCCCTCCTCTTCTTAGAAAGCAGCAAAGGCAGTCATGAGCTGTCTTAGTAGCTCCTCCACTTCTCTTGTTACCAGCATTCATTCCCACTTCTGACACCAAAAAGTGTTGTGTGCATATGGGTTCATGACAATGCATTCAGTCCGTTATGCAATGATAGGTTGACAAAATTTATTTAAATAAAATGCAGTGCAAAGTGCATCTAAAGAGCAAAGCTAACCTTGAGATATTTCAATACTCTGAATGTACACTGAACTAAACAGCCGACAAAACCTGAGGAACTGTTGCTCTTGTCGGTTTCACCCGGCAGCTGAAATATTTCTAGTACTTTCTGCTGCTTGAAATTGATGGAAGACATATGAGAGCCGAATTATGGTTACAGCTACATAGAGCATCAATTATAGTTGTTCAACTACAACACCGATTACAGTTATGCAGGTGCCAGACCAATAATGTCACCAAACGGTCGCAGAGATTGGCGAATTCTGGTAATTTCTCACCAAATTTGGAGACAAAAATTAGTCGTCCAAGATACTCCCAGCTTGGCAATATCTCACCAAATGAGCAAAATAGCCATTTACTCTATGTTAAATAAGACTTGCCCCTGTATTCTTACTTTTCCAGCATAGTATCCTCTCTCTAGACTTTCACATTAAATTAACAGAAAAATAAAACAATTTCAATATATTTGCATTAAAATAATCTATCTATATGCAAAATTCATAATAATATTTATTTTTATCATCTCTCTGGACTGTAGAGTGGCTAACAGAGGCTGACTATTAGGCTGATTAGTTCAGCTATTCTCGACCAATTCATGAAAAGTATGCATCAGGACACTAAAAAGAAGAAAAAAAAAAAAAGAGAGAGAGAGAGATAAAATTTACCCTTTAGCCTCTATACCATACCTTAATATTAAGAACAACTTACCTATAATTTCTTTAGTTGTTTTACTTGATACTTGCAAATTTAAGCTAATCTCTTATTAAGTTATTCCTCTTCAGTTATTTTTCATAATGTTTTAGTTCATTACTTACTAATTATTACTAACTTACTAATATTTTCATCCCTTTCTATTTCATTTAATTTTTCCTTACTTACTGCTTTATCTATTATTTTTTGTTCATTATTTTTCCTTCCCATTTCTGCTTGCATTCTATAGTTTCAGCACTTTTAATTTTAGAAATTTAAGTCCTGGCTGTAGTACTAGAACAAGTTTAGAACTCTTCACATGTAGTGATAAAGAACTGATTTTAGTAAAGCACATTAAAATATCTATAAAACTTTATCAAGATACTATAATAAAAGGAACAAAATATTAAATCCATAGAATAACATATATGCCTTCATAAAACGAGATATCTTAACCAGTCTGCTGATTACACAAACAGATAAAAATTACATAAAACTGATAACCAGAAAATGCAGGCACAATTTTAGCATGGATATTTCTTATTGTTTTAATTGAATGATTTTACAAATTGCAATTAAAAATTATATAAATACCATACAAATGAAATAGCTATTTCATAGTATATGTCAATCAAAAATTAGTCAATATACCAATACATGAAAATATAATTTTTCCCTCCAAATAGAATGTGGATTAAAAAATGTGAAATCATTTACCTGTATTGTGAAATTGTAGCATGTCCAAGAAAATCATTCAAAAACTTGAATCTAAAATTGAGTGCAAATTTGCAAACTTCCTTGAGTGCAGAGAAATTTCCATCATTTACTTCCACTTTATCCAAAACATTATTAAATATATTTAACATTAGTCCCACAAATTAATTGAATTGAATGTTCTCAATTTTTCTCTTGAGAATGACAATAAACTTGTACGTATATATATATAACAAGAGGAAATGCTAAAAGTATTTGCAACATAAATGAAATTTTAAAAGATTGTATCACTGATTTTGCCAGTATCAGCACCAGTGTTCAACTTTAGCTGGCATTAAAATGAATTAATAATTGATTAATACAATTTATTTACTAATTATACTTTAAAATATAATGTAACGTGCATCAATCAAGCAAAAATGAATTATGATTGAAGACGTAAACCGGTTGAAAGCTTTATTTGAAAAAAAAATTCATTTCAACATTTTAGACCTTAAATCTAACGAATTTTTATTTTTTAAAGTGTGCATTTCATTATTTTACATATTGTGCAACATTTAACAATGTATTAATATATAAATAATTTTTAATACATGTATACTCAAATACATGCAAGTCTAACTTCCATTTATCAATATTTTTTTTTTTTTTTTAATCTCATACTCGGAGGCATG